TGGAATGTCATTTTTAGGAAGATAATTTTAAGCTGAAAAGCAGTAAATGAGAATATCAATACATTCACATTGATTACATTTAAAGGAGGTGAACATTTCACACCAAGTATTATTTTTCAGCTTGCTTTCTATCAGTCATCTCTTAAAAATGCGAGTTATTTCCCACCTTCTAACACTTGAACCAAGCTCTCCAGAAGCCCTTGTTTTTAGTAGATACATGTGAAAACTATGGCCTTTTCAGAATCTGTGGTCTTTCACTATGGCAAAGTCATTGCCATGGTCAAATATTCCAAACATTTCACTTTCCATGGTGTGCCAAAATACATCTAATCAAAAGAATGTGTGGATAGAAGTAAAATCTCAAATGTATCAAGTCAGAGAAATCACCCTTGTATAGTTTGCCGTGTGCCTACATCAAGACTATTATTATATGAACCAATAACATAAATCTAGATTTTAAAACTGTATATTACTGATTACATGCTGGAAATTAATCACATTTCTGGCATAACAGGAAAACATTAAAATAAAGCACAGTCGAGTTGAAATTACAATACTCAAAAGACAAATGTTTGTTTGACATGTGCTTAATTATATCTTTTAATTATTCTAAATGTGCTCCCCAGACAGACAGCTAATTCTGTACTCTGTTTCCAAAGTTAGCCAGCAAAATCAATTTGTGGCATTTTGATTCCAACATAGCCTATGTCAATTGTGTCAAGCATCTTCATCTTTTTTAATCCAGTGGTGAAAAATACAAAACATTTTAAGGGCACTTCTGTTTCTGTTCTCTTTTGCGGTTTAATCAGATGTTGCAGCGGGAACCCTAACAGACAGATTCCTTCGGGTGCTGGTGATGTGCCGCTGCTGTGCCAAGAAGGATCGTGCAGGGGTGCAGGGGCTGGGGTCTTTGCAAGCGCCGCTCCAGCCTGGCTGAAGCTGACGTTTTCTTCATTTCTATGGACGGAAATGTGGATCTAAAAGCTGACAGATCATGGCAATACTAAAAAAAGGCAAAAAACTCAATTTGTTTACTTTAAAGTACTAAATGTGAAATCAATAAAAACAGTAGTTTAAAATAATATGATGAAATTAGGTCAATTATAATAATAGAAAAATGTTCCAAAGCAAGTTTTTGTGTTTGGACATTCTCTACACTGGCTCTGCACAGACACAGGACACAGAACAGCTTACACAGTCCTTCGAGTATGGTCCCTGCATACTTTGATATATAACTACTATAGTTTTGACTGTTGGGCTTCTTGAGACAAAGCAAGTTTTTGTGTTTGGACATTCTCTACACTGGCTCTGCACAGACACAGGACACAGAACAGCTTACACAGTCCTTCGAGTATGGTCCCTGCATACTTTGATATATAACTACTATAGTTTTGACTGTTGGGCTTCTTGTGAGAAAAAGCATTACTCTCTCAATAGATAGATCTCATAATGAAACAGTTTTACGGAACTCAGCATCACTAGTAGCCAATTAAGTACATGGGCTATAGTAAGATACTCAACAAATAATAGACTGAAAATAAAATAAGTGATTTATTACTTGGCTCTGTTATCTTCATTGATTTAAGACATTAAGAATTTATAGAGGAATAAAGAGAATAATATATAGTCCCTGCCCTCAAGTAGGATGGAAAAACGGATGGGGAATAGTTCTGGAAACATCGCTCATGAAATTCCCTCAAGATCCTCCTAATATAAGCCAGATTTCCCCAAACACAGACAGAAAGTACGGTGCCATGAAAGAACAAGGCGGGCGTGATGCCTCACATGGAAGGACAACTAGTCTTACATGAAGTGTGGCATTCACCCATGAAGTGTCTAAAATTCTCTCAGACTGAATGGTGCATAATTGTGGATCATGGAGAAATGATTTTCTATTCTGATTAGAGTAACTCAAGAGAACCTTATATCCCTTGAAATGCTATTCTTGAAAACATTTCACCGATACTAAGGATTATAAAACAAAGTATTTTTCAAATTACTTCATGATATTTCTTCCTTGGTAAGACAGAGACTATTATGGAAGAGTAATGCCTGCCTAGTTTTGCATTACTCAGACATTCATACATTTCAGACACCCTTCATGAGTATAAATTAAAAATTTCAGTTCAAATATGGAAATTACTTGTTATATCTGTGCTTAATGAGCATCAGCTAAAACTTAATGAGTCACAACATCAATTTAGTGAATTATGACTAATATTTAAAGAAATAGAATATGAATGAAAATGTGTGAGTGTAATACACAGTGTCAGTGTAACTTCTGTTTTGGTTAGATACCTAAATACTCTATGTCATGTCCTGCTTTATGTAATGTTTCCTCCCATTGCTCCTCATAAAAGTCTGATACACCCTGTTCGAAATATCCAATCATTGGCTAAATTTCCACTCACCTTATTATACCACGTAGAAACAATGAGTTTTTCTTCATAATCACAGAATTTTGCTACTTTACATTCACTCTGGAAAAAGGTATGAGAAAAATTAAGATCTCCCAATTTGCCCTTTATTATCCAAAACAGAATCATTTCTTCACTATCTCACTGTTCAAAGAATAAAAGAATGCATTTCTGAGGCACACAAGTCAAATGTAAATAGAATCATGCAAAAACACATGCACAGCACCTTTAGGAAAGAGTAAGATTTGTGACTAATAATGTCTCAGATTTTACTCATAGAAACTGATTTCAAAACACACATATACACACACACACACACACACACACACACACACTCCTAATACTTCTTGTATTATTGTTCCCCATATCTTGAGAAAGCAAAACTGATTTAGGTATTAAAACAAAGTTGCACCCATGGAGGAATCAAAAGTAAGGAGGAGGAGGAGGCAGTAAAAACAGCCACATATTATTCTTAGCGTAATTCCCTCTTAATTTTTGGTGGCCTGTACACTAGATTACCTATGATCATCTTTCTGTGCCACTGCAGAGACATGCTTTTCCTAATTATTATAGTACAGATAATTTTGTAGTCCTGTTGAGCACCAGACATAACTGGCTCATATAATAATTTATAATCTTTTTTTTGGGGTGGTACCTAGGATTGAACTCGGGACCTTGCGCTTGCAAGGCAGATGGTGGCACCATTGAGCTAAATCCCTGGCCCAATAATTTATAACCTTGAAACACTTTGATTTTCTCTCATCAAGATGCTCACGACAGGAAAAAAAAAAAAACAAAACAAGCCCAAAGGAAGGCAGTAATGTGAGTCAGGTCCCCCCATTCCAGGCACAAACACACTTGGAAGGGAGACACAGAACAGCCTCTCCTTTTTGTTTTCACAGTATGTGTAGAGATGAATATACAGAAATTAAACACCTATATGCTCTGAACAAACCTAAATTTCTCCTCAGGGCACATTTTATCATCATACTTTTAGGAAACCTACTTTACTTTAAATATCAGCAGTGTTGTACATTCTCACTAGCTGTCACTGAAAAGTAAACAGAGCAACACCTGACATAATCTAGTCAGGCCATGCTTTTAGAGAAGTAAGGACTGAGGACCAGAAAGGAAAACTGATAACTTTAGGTTACTAATTGAACTATAATCCTGGTCTCTGATTTATGCAGTATTTAATGCTGGGGCTACAGAAATGTAAGATACAGAATTTGCCCTTAAAGTATGTGGAAAAAAAACAAGACAAAAGGACAAAAACAAGCTATGCAATGAGTGAGCTCCAAGCACATGCACTAATTACAGAGAGGTAACTAAATTTAGACTAAGGAAGATAAGAAGAGTTATCCAGAGGAAAGAACACTTGGGTTAGGCCTCAAAGAACTACTACCCCCTCTTCAGACACATTATCCCTTCTCAATGCTTTTTCAAACACAGGACACGGTCTGAGCAAGCACTGACAACGAGTGCACATCAGCATGGGGCCTCCTCTAGATGGTAAGGTTGTTAAGTGTTTAAGTAAAAATACTTCCAATCAGCCCATACCTACTTGCTCAGAAAAAATACCAGAAAAAAGACACATGAATAGGATGCTTTTCTTTGAAATATAATGTTCCCAGTTAATTTAAAATGATAACAACTACCATTTCTGAGAATTTCAAGCCCAGAGCATAGAATTCAACCTGCCTCTGTAAATATGCACATGTTGTTAAGAGGAAGTGTATAACATCAAGTCTTATCACAGTATTAAGAATGGTATTTTATAAAATACTTTGCAAAACAAACTAGAACATGCCCAATTATAAAATCTAAAGCATATAAGTACATATTAATATTCTTACACAAGCTCATAAAAATGATAAAACCATAACCACTGGCACACAAAAAAACTTTAACATGTAAAGACTTAAGTAATCAATAAAATCATGCCATTACTAATATAACTTTGCGTGATTATAGATCACTA